TTTCTAAATTCCATACTCTGTTTTACACCTTTAATTATCTTGTTGATATAGCTGAGAGTGTCTCTTGACTCCTTCTGGTCAACATGGTACTGGGCGGCCATGTTTTCATGGTACTGGGCGGCCATGTTTGCATGATACTGGGCCGCCATGTTTTCATGGTACTGGGAGGCCATGTTTTCATGATACTTGGCCGCCATGTTTTCATGATACTGGGCCGCCATGTTTTCATGATACTGGCCCGCCATGTTTTCATGATACTGGGCCGCCATGTTTTCATGGTACTGGGCCTCCATGTTTTCATGATACTGGGCGGCCATGTTTTCATGATACTTGGCCGCCATGTTTTCATGATACTGGGCCGCCATGTTTTCATGGTACTGGGCCGCCATGTTTTCATGGTACTGGGCCGCCATGTTTTCATGGTACTGGGCCGCCATGTTTTCATGGTACTGGGTGGCCATGTTTTCATGATACTGGGCGGCCATGTTTTCCTGTGTGGGGTGTATCACAAAGGAGATTCACTAAGTTAGCCAGCCTACAGATATAGCTATTTTCTGGATTGTTACAAAACTGGAGCTGACATATTATTGAGAATATCGAGTCAATTAGGCTATAGCATTTACATTTTAAATGTCTTTCTCTAGAAAACATATGGAGCAATATGTACGAAAGCTAGCTAGCTGGCTAACTATTTGATCCTGCTTTGTGACAAACCCTCCAGGTGCAACTGAGCCCCATTACGTCAAAACAACAACAGTAGACAGAAACAGACGTCTTCTGCCCCGTCAGCAGATTCTGTGTGGGATTCAGTCTGTCGTGGTCTGGTCCTGCTAGGGAGGGAAGACAGTGTGGTGTTTAATATACAGACGAGTGAACTCAGCAGACTCACTAGTGCTCTTTTAATGTCTGGATACACACATGTGCTCACGCACTCACTCACTCACTTACTCACTCACATCAGTGAACCCAGATGGGGCTCCCTACTGACGGAGATGCTACTACAGTCTGAGAACATTATGTCAATGACATTTCATATTTTACAGTCAAAGCTCACAACAACAGAACTCTTTATTTTATACTTTATACACAGATATTGTCTGTGAAGTTACTAGAACAATCCCTGAACTCGTAGCTACGTTTACATAGTCTAATTGTATGGTACTGACCCCTAGAGGATTAATGATTCAACATAATGCAGTTGTGTGTGGCAGTGTGCTTTTTGTTCTCTGGTTAAAGTGTAGCATTGAGTGAATGTAGCCTTGGACTCCCTAGTCCCTCCCTGGGGCTCAAGGCTCAAAGCTCAGACACCTGGAATTCCTGGGGTTCAACCACAACAAAGGAAACTTGTGCTTTAGAGGAGAGAGAGAGAGATGGCTGACCCATAGTAATAGAATTACAAGAATGGACGAGAATTACCAAAAAAGCAGAACCCTTATAATGTGCCACAACGTAACAAGGACTATCTCAAGGGATTGGAAAGGTAAAGTCCTACATTTACATTTAAGTCATTTAGCAGACTCTCTTATCCTACAACTCTGAACATTGTTAGGCTATTCCATTAAAACCTGTTTGGAAGTTTAAGTCAAAATGTTGTTACTGCCTTTCAATATGGCTAAGTATTTGGCCACTAATTGTTTTGTAATGATTGAGAAATTGCATGAACTGTTTGGGTAGGACAAAGTATCACAGATCATATGATAATCAGGCAATGAGTTGTAGTCTGCTGCCATCTCCTGGTTATTTTCAGAAACTGACACTGAATTCATTTTTCTCTCTCTGGCTATGAGAGTGCAGGCACTGGAGCTTTTTGGGCATGGGTCATTCCACAAATTCGGTGCCTTTTGAGATTTGTAACTTGGTGAAAAAAACCTTTAGGTTTACCAAATTTTAACATTCTGTCATAAAGAGCACATGTTCAACCTAATAAAATAACAGTTTAACCATCTCATAAAAAAATGACTATAGTAAGTGCCTATTAAGTGCCAAATAAAGTAACAGGGTTGACTGTAACAGGGTTGACGATGTCATCTTAAATCAGCCATAAATCCCCTTGTGACAGGGAAGCTTGCTGTGTGCAACAGGGATGGGCAATTGAATGCAAGCTGAAGCTTCACAATAAAAAACAAACATTTCCACCACAAACACCAGAACATTTACAAAAAGAGCAGAACCAGCTGACCTGCATTTACACCATGATTTGGCTATTAGATGTTCAATGTTTCTTTTGAAAATAGTATTTAAAAAAGGAATAGTTTCATCATATTAAAACGAGAGTTCAGTTCACGTAGCAAGGTTGAAATTAAAATGAGGGACAGGATTTTTTAAACCTTAAAATTAATCACTAATCACATTAAATAAATAATAATCTTTAGAAATGACGTTGTCAAAGCGAAAAAAAAAACTAGAGCTTTCAATGGTGGTAAAAACATGGAGACATTTTGGGCTTAAGTGGGTTAAAATTCCTGAAAGTCACAGAAGGTGCATGGAGGGACATGTCAAAATGCTGAATTTTGGCACTTAAGCAAGTCTTTATTCATATACATTTGTTTGATTTATTGCATTCTCAATGTGGTCTATATTAAGGTATTGCTTATTCACCCTCTGAATGGCACACATACACAATCCATGTCTCAGTTGTCTCAAGGCTTAAAAATCCTTCTTTAACCTGTCTCCTCCCCTTCATCTACACTGAGTGCCATCAATAAGGGATCATAGCATTCACCTGGTCAGTCTATGGCATGGAAAGAGCAGGTGTTCTTATGGTTTTTATACTCAGTGTACTCAGTTTGGCCAGAGCTCTGGTAATTTCCTTAGTTGAGAAATGTGCTCTTCCCGTGTTAAAAAATGTTGTGCTGGAAATGAAGGAGCGTGTCTGGAATCCCCAGCAACAAGACACAGGGGTATGAGGTATGAAAGGAGTGAATGGGTTGACAGTATTCATGAGGTATGATAGGAGTGAATGGGTTGACAGTATTCATGAGGTATGATAGGAGCTAATGGTTTGACAGTATTCATGAGGTATGATGGGAGTGAATGGGTTGACAGTGTTCATGAGGTATGACAGGAGTGAATGGGTTGACAGTGTTCATTAGGTATGATGGGAGTGAATGGGTTGACAGTGTTCATGAGGTATGAAAGGAGTGAATGGGTTGACAGTGTTCATGAGGTATGATAGGAGTGAATGGGTTGATAGTATTCATGAGGTATGATAGGAGTGAATGGGTTGACAGTATTCATGATGAATCCTATGGTTTCCTTTAGGGTTTACATAATCTCCATAATGTGATTATAACTCACCCCTAGAAGCAGCTGGTGTCAGTCTATAGAAGAATGTCCCAGTGGGCCACTGAAGCACTGTTGAAATGAGCTCTCCCTCTGTTGTATATCACACTGATACCTGAGCCGACAAGGTGAAAAATATGTTGATGTGCCCTTGAGCAAGGCACTTAATCCTAATTTGCTCCAGGGGCAGTGTACTACTATGGCTGATCCTGTAAAACAACACATTTCACTGCACCTATCTGGTGTACAGTATGTGACAATAAAACATCTTTAAAAATATATACGTAGCGTAATTACCAGCAGTTTATGTAAATTCTTGTTAGGATGAGGACATGTTGGTCACATGAGAAATATGGGTTTATATAGATATGTCTGTCTGTATGTGAAACATGTATGAATATTATAAAAGTAAGTAGTTCCTTTTGTTCAGCTGCATATGGACCAAGCCAATGTGTGAGATATACAAGAGCAACTGTAAAAGCACAGTGTATAAGTCTACATTAACTTTACAATGGCTGTAGTACTTACAGGATATAAGATAAAAAACTAATGTCTGTGGTCTAACGTCTGTGGTCTAATGTCTGTGGTCTAACGTCTGTGGTCTAACGTCTGTGGTCTAACGTGTGTGGTCTAACGTCTGTGGTCTAACGTGTGTGGTCTAACGTCTGTGGTCTAACGTCTGTGGTCTTAACGTGTGTGGTCTAAAGTCTGTGGTCTAACGTGTGTGGTCTAACGTCTGTGGTCTAATGTCTGTGGTCTAATGTATGTGGTCTAACGTCTGTGGTCTAACGTCTGTGGTCTAATGTCTGTGGTCTAATGTATGTGGTCTAACGTCTGTGGTCTAACGTCTGTGGTCTAATGTCTGTGGTCTAACGTGTGTGGTCTAACGTCTGTGGTCTAATGTCTGTGGTCTAATGTATGTGGTCTAACGTCTGTGGTCTAACGTCTGTGGTCTAACGTGTGTGGTCTAAAGTCTGTGGTCTAATGTCTGTGGTCTAATGTATGTGGTCTAACGTCTGTGGTCTAACGTCTGTGGTCTAACGTCTGTGGTCTAACGTCTGTGGTCTAACGTGTGTGGTCTAACGTGTGTGGTCTAACGTCTGTGGTCTAACGTCTGTGGTCTAACGTCTGTGGTCTAACGTGTGTGGTCTAACGTCTGTGGTCTAACGTGTGTGGTCTAACGTCTGTGGTCTAACGTCTGTGGTCTAACGTCTGTGGTCTAACGTGTGTGGTCTAACGTCTGTGGTCTAATGTCTGTGGTCTAACGTCTGTGGTCTAACGTCTGTGGTCTAACGTGTGTGGTCTAAAGTCTGTGGTCTAATGTCTGTGGTCTAACGTCTGTGGTCTAACGTCTGTGGTCTAACGTGTGTGGTCTAAAGTCTGTGGTCTAATGTCTGTGGTCTAATGTATGTGGTCTAACGTCTGTGGTCTAACGTCTGTGGTCTAACGTGTGTGGTCTAACGTCTGTGGTCTAATGTCTGTGGTCTAATGTATGTGGTCTAACGTCTGTGGTCTAACGTCTGTGGTCTAACGTGTGTGGTCTAAAGTCTGTGGTCTAATGTCTGTGGTCTAATGTCTGTGGTCTAATGTCTGTGGTCTAATGTATGTGGTCTAAAGTCTGTGGTCTAACGTCTGTGGTCTAACGTGTGTGGTCTAACGTCTGTGGTCTAACGTCTGTGGTCTAACGTCTGTGGTCTAACATCTGTGGTCTCTGTCTTCTGTTGGCCTCTCTGTGTGTCCAGCTGGATGATCCGTCCGTGTTCCCAGCAGTCATTGTGGAGCAGGTGCCCGCCGCTGACCTCATGCAGGTCTACTCGGGCATGGAGTCGGACGAGGTGACCAACGGCATTATGGTGGACAACACTCTACATGTGATGGAGGAGCCCATTCTGGTTGGCGACGTGGGCCTCTCAGGTGAGGGGGAGGAGGGCATGATACTTTACACAAGCGTGCATGCATGCCTAGGGGGTAGGAGCTAGGAGTTGATTCCGGACAGTGCCTGGTATTAACTAAATTACCTAGAATTCACCCTTAGATTTGTAATATCCTTTCAGGTTTGTCTCTAAAGCTGTCTGTTTCTTGTTCTGATGACAATCCCTGTCTGATTGGCCAGTAGAAACGACGGTGTCGGGCACAGAGGATAACATGGAGACCAACGAGGCTGCGGCAGCCCTTCTTAACATGGAGTCACCAAACAACATCCTGGATGAGAAACGCATGAGTACGAATTCTGTTGTTCTGTTGTTGCTACTCTCTTGGAGGGGGTTAGGGGAAGGAGTATTTTTGTATATGTTGGTACCACATGTGTATTAACTGAATCCAATTTCTACCCCAGAGCATTTATCTTGTCGGTTTTTATTTTTTCTGACCTAGAATTGATTACGTGCTCTTTTTAAGATTCTATTCTGGATTTTCAATTTCTTTACCTTTGATATTGAATACTGCATTGTTGAAGAAGCGCTTGTAAGTTACTATACTGTTTACACCTGTTGTACCCTGTGGATGTGACAAATACATTTTGATTTGCTTTATCACTTTCAAAACATATTGTTAAAACCTGCACGTTTTTGGTGAAGGCTATTTGTATGCAGTTTAATTTGTATGCAGTTTCATTTGTAGTATTTCCTAACTCCTATCATTATCTCTGGCTGTTGCTTTAGTTCACAGTCTCACAATAATATTACGTAACTGGGAGTCAAATTGAGTGTACTACTGTTTTCTCTGTTGTTGTAGTTCACACCTACGGGACCATGTTGGAGTCTGACTACACCTATATCCACTTGAGGCCGGAGCCCAACGGCTGCATGGATGTATCGCTGGATGATGAAACATCCTCCATGGACGAGATCCCTCAGAAGAGCGTGTCCAAACCACAGAGGAAAACCAAAGGTACTGCAGGGGTTCTCCTGGAATGTAGGGAGCAGTGTTACAACACATTATTTAGTCTTGCTTTTAATCTTCTAAACTCAGCAAAAAAAAGAAACGTCCCTTTTTCAGGACCCTGTCTTTCAAATAAAATTTGTAAAAATCCAAATAACTTCACAGATCTTCATTGTAAAGGGTTTAAACACTGCTTCCCATGCTTGTTCAATGAACCATAAACAATTAATGAACATGCGCCTGTGGAACGGTCGTTAAGACACCAACAGCTTACAGACAGTAGGCAATTATCTCCTGAGTGGCGCAGTGGTCTAAGGCGCCGCATCGCAGTGCTAACTGTGCCACTAGAAATCCTGGTTCGAATCCAGGCTCTGTCGCAGCCGGCCGCGACCGGGAGACTCATGGGCGGCGCACAATTGGCCCAGCGTCGTCCAGGGTAGGGGAGGGAATGGCCGGCAGGGATGTAGCTCAGTTGATAGAGCATGGCGTTTGCAACGCCAGGGTTGTGGGTTCGATTCCCACGGGGGGCCAGTATATAAAAAATAAAAACAAAACAAAAACAAAAAAATATATATATATATAATAAATAAAAAATAAAAAATATGTATTCACTAACTGTAAGTCGCTCTGGATAAGAGCGTCTGCTAAATGACTAAAATGTAAATGTAATTAAGGTCATACTAAAGAGGCCTTTCTACTGACTCTGAAAAACACCAAAAGAAAGATGCCCAGGGTCCCTGCTCATCTGCGTGAACATGCAAGGAGGTATGAGGACTGCAGATATGGCCAGGGCAATAAATTGCAATGTCCGTACTGTGAGACGCCTAAGACAGCGCTACAGGGAGACAGGACGGACAGCTGATCGTCCTCGCAGTGGCAGACCACGTGTAACAACACCTGCACAGGATCGGTACATCCGAACATTACACCTGCTGGACAGGTACAGGATGGCAACAACAACTGCCCGAGTTACACCAGGAACGCACAATCACTCCATCAGTGCTCAGACTGTCCGCAATAGGCTGAGAGAGGCTGGACTGAGGCAGGTCCTCACCAGACATCACCAACAACAATGTCGCCTATGGACACAAACCCACCGTCGCTGGACCAGACAGGACTGGCAAAAAGTGCTCTTCACTGACGAGTTGCGGTTTTGTCTCACCAGGGGTGATGGTCAGATTCGCGTTTATCGTCGAAGGAATGAGCGTTATACCGAGGCTTGTACTCTGGAGCGGGATCGATTTGGAGGTGGAGGGTCCGTCATGGTCTGGGGCAGTGTGTCACAGCATCATCGGACTGAGCTTTTTGTCATTGCAGGCAATCTCAACGCTGTGCGTTACAGGGAAGACATCCTCCTCCCTCATGTGGTACCCTTCCTGCAGGCTCATCCTGACATGACCCTCCAGCATGACAATGCCACCAGCCATACTGCTCGTTCTGTGCGTGATTTCCTGCAAGACAGGAATGTCAGTGTTCTGCCATGGCCAGCGAAGAGCCCGGATCTCAATCCCATTGAGCACGTCTGGGACCTGTTGGATCGGAGGGTGAGGGCTAGGGCCATTCCCCCCAGAAATGTCCGGGAACTTGCAGGTGCCTTGGTGGAAGAGTGGGGTAACATCTCACAGCAAGAACTGGCAAATCTGGTGCAGTCCATGAGGAGGAGATGCACTGCAGTACTTAATGCAGCTGGTGGCCACACCAGATACTGACTGTTACACATTATTCCATTTCTGTTAGTCACATGTCTGTGGAACTTGTTCAGTTTATGTCTCAGTTGTTGAATCTTGTTATGTTCATACAAATATTTTAACATGTTAAGTTTGCTGAAAATAAATGCAGTTGACAGTGAGAGGACGTTTATTTCTTTGCTGAGTTTATATGAAGATATTCCACTTACTCTCATGTTTAGAAAATATATGCTTTTAAGAGTTACACAGGAGTACCTTGGAAAATATATTTGCTTATAGCCTTATTAACCATAGCTTATAGCCTTATTAACCATAGCTTATAGCCTTATTAACCATAGCTTACAGCCTTATTAACCATAGCTTATAGCCTTATTAACCATAGCTTATAGCCTTATTAACCATAGCTTACAGCCTTATTAACCATAGCTTATATCCTTATTAGCCATAGCTTATATCCTTATTAACTATAGCTTATAGCCTTATTAACCATAGCTTACAGCCTTATTAACCATAGCGTATAGCCTTATTATTAGCAAATTGTTCAGTGCTGACCATTTTTTAAATTTAGTCATTAACAGGGATGTGCTTAATTGGGTGTCACAGTGTTGACCTTTACCATTTTCCTTGGTCCTGTCTTAGTGCGCAAGCCTCGGCCGGTACGTCCCTGCTCCCCCATTACCACTCCCAGCCTGCCACTCAAGAAGAAGAGCAAGGAGGGCAAAGGTGAGCGTTCTTCTCAACCAGCTCACCTCTCAAAAAACAGCCAATCAAAATCAAGGTCTCTCCTGGGCCATTCTCAACCAGCTTGCTTCTTGAAAAAACAGCCAATCAATATCAAGGTCTCTCCTGGGCCCTTCTCAATCAGCTAGCTTCTTGAAAAAACAGCCAATTGAAATCAAGGTCTCTCCTGGCCCTTTCTCAACTAGCTTGCTTCTTGAAAAAACAGCCAATCGAAATCAAGGTCTCTCCTGGGCCCTTCTCAACCAGCTTGCTTCTTTAAAAAACTGCCAATCAAAATCAAGGTCTCTTCTGGGCCCTTCTCAATCAGCTTGCGTCTTGAAAAAACAGCCAATCGAAATCAAGGTCTCGCCTGGCCCTTTCTCAACCAGCTTGCTTCTTGAAAAAACAGCCAATCGAAATGAAGGTCTCTCCTGGGCCCTTCTGTAAGCTACTGTGCATGTTTCTGCTTGTAGAGTGGTGCAATCAGCAACCAGCAGCCCCTGTAGTCCAGTTGGGTTGGACCTCAGCTTGCTAATTGACGAGCTGCTCTCAACGTGCTGTGTTTCACAGGGAAACAAGTGATTGCACGCTGGAGGGTACATTGATGAACTACTGATAAAACCCCTTTCCCCTCTCCTTGTGTGTGTCCCCTTGCACGACACATAGAGGGGATAGGGAGACGGGGTTGGTTCAGCCGCACACATATACATTACGCTGTCACGGTGGCTGCTGGAGGGGTTGCTGTTTTTAACTACTTCTGGCCCTAACCGTTTCACAAACAAGAGTCATCTACTGCCAGAGTCCCATCCAATGTATTTATTTTCCAAGCCTAGGTACACACACACAACAGACGAGAACAGCAAATTGATTGATTTAGGTTATGAGGAGGGAATACTGCGATTGCGTCTCTGCCTATTTCCATTTGTTAAGTAAAACCTGCAATGCTGAATGAGTTATGGACAGGTGTAGCAGAACTACAAGCTCATGTACTGTATTAGACTCATATGTACTGTATTAGACTGACATGTACTGTATTAGACTCAAATTTACTGTATTAGAACTGTGTTAAAACTGTGAATTCCTCCTTTCTCCCCCCTATGTAGGGAACACAATCTACCTATGGGAGTTCCTCCTGGCCCTATTGCAGGACAAGAACACCTGTCCCAAGTACATCAAGTGGACGCAGAGGGAGAAGGGCATCTTTAAGCTGGTGGACTCCAAGGCTGTTTCAAAACTGTGGGGCAAACACAAGAACAAACCTGACATGAACTATGAAACCATGGGCAGGGCACTCAGGTGAGAGGAACGTTACTACACACATGGTGTTGGCCTACATCACAGACATACATAATTTGGCCTGCACACTTAAGAAGGCTATCACACTAAAATGTCTGTGCCCCTGTTGCAGTAAATAGTTAAATGTCTGTGCCCCCATCGTAGTAAATAGTTAAATGTCTGTGCCCCTGTTGCAGTAAATAGTTAAATGTCTGTGCCCCTGTTGCAGTAAATAGTTAAATGTCTGTGGCCCTGTTGCAGTAAATAGTTAAATGTCTGTGCCCCTGTAGCAGTAAATAGTTAAATGTCTGTGGCCCTGTTGCAGTAAATAGTTAAATGTCTGTGGCCCTGTTGCAGTAAATAGCTAAATGTGTGTTCTCCTGTTGCAGTAAATAGTTAAATGTCTGTGCCCCTGTTGCATAAAATATTTAAATGTCTGTGCCCCTGTTTCAGTAAATAATAAATGTATGTGCTCCTGTTGCAGTAAATAGTGAAATGTCTGTGGCCCTGTTGCAGTAAATAGTGAAATGTCTGTGGCCCTGTTGCAGTAAATAGTGAAATGTCTGTGGCCCTGTTGCAGTAAATAGTTAAATGTCTGTGGCCCTGTTGCAGTAAATAGTTAAATGTCTGTGGCCCTGTTGCAGTAAATAGTTAAATGTCTGTGGCCCTGTTGCAGTAAATAGTTAAATGGAAAATGGAGTAGGTGCTTCTAGATAACATAGCCAACAAACTGCAGTATGTTGTGTTGTACCGACATAATACAATCTTATCTCACCTCCATCCCCTTCTCCTCTTGAAGGCAGTATTATAACATAAATGTCTGTTATGAAACATAACTGAGAAAAATGTTGAATACAGTGAGCAAGGCACTCGGACCCCAGACATCCTTTGTACCAGGAGTTTAAGTCACGTCTCTCAGGTCAAGGACCAAAGCATAAAATAAGTATTCAGTGGCACCTTATTCAAGGTGGACCTTATTCAAGCCACGGCCATGATCATTCAAAATGCGGGCTAACAGGGTAGAAAGGAAAGTTATCCTTTGAAGTCAATGGTGAAAAGTGCTGTAACTTTCCTGAAGTCTCTTTCTGTTTGTAATGTTACTTCATGTTTATTCAATGCCACAAACATCTTACGTTACCTGTCCCTTCTGTCCCTCCCTAAGGTATTACTACCAGCGTGGTATCCTGGCTAAGGTGGAGGGTCAGCGGCTGGTCTACCAGTTTAAAGACATGCCTCCTGACCTAGTGGTGATTGACGACGAGGACCCATGCCCCGACCTCACCCCTGGCTACGGGGGCCAGCGCCCCAGCCACCACGGCCGGGGAGGCTCCAGAGGGGGGCACGGTAAAAACCATGCCCATGTGCACCGTCCTATATCGGTAAAACAAGTGAAGAGAGAGCCCATTGATTTTGATGGGCTGTACCATGAGGTCAATGGGAAACAGGCAGAACACATGATCCAGACGGTCCACGTGCTGCAGCCCAACCAGGGGGCGGCTGTGCCGGCATCCACACACACTGTGAGGTGAGAGATGGATGGCAACCCGGCATATGTACACACACACACATGCGTACATGCACATGCATATCCATACACACACACACACACACAGTCTTGTACAGCTAACCTTGTGGGGACACACAATTCAGTCCCATTCAAAATCCTCTTTTCCCTAACCCCTAACCCTAAACCTAACCTGTACTTTTACCCTAACCCTAACCTTAACCCAAAGACCTAACCTTAACCCTAACCATAAACCTAACCCTAGCTCCCAACTCTAAAACTAACCCTAACCCTAACCCTTAACATAATTGTAACCCTAACACTAATTCTAACCTTAACCCTAAACCTCCTAGAAATAGCATTTGACCTTGTGGGGACAACAAAATGTCCCCAGTTGGTCCAATTGTTGTTTGTTTACTATTCTTGTGGGGACTTCTGGTCCGCACAAGAATAGTTCAACACGTCCACACACACACACACACACACACACACACAGATTTTGAATGCTCATATAGAAGGCCAGTATGTAACATAAAGCTACTTGTAGCATAAAGCTAAAGATATGTTTTATATTTGAGATTCTTCAAATAGTGTGACCCAGGTGCGGTGCAGGATATACAGTAGGCAGTAAGCAGAGATGGTAAAACAAGGATCTTTACTGGTGGTCCCGAAGCCAGAATACAAAATAACGGACTTATCACGATAAAAGAAAGGCGGAGCAAATCAGTCTCCAAAAACCGGCTGACAGCCAAAATACGAAATACTACTTAAGACTGAAACAAATAACGAAACAGGGAGAACACTTCTCAAGTACCTGTACATAGATCTACAATCAGACACTGAGTAGTACTGCTGGACATAGAGAAACTAGCAGAGAAAACTGAGCAAGGGAACACAGGGAAGTGAGGGCATAAATACACAACTGAACAGGTAGACACAGGTGACACCAATAGGATAATGATTAGTCCAGACTGTGAGTGAGGAGGTGCCTAAGGTTGTCGGAGGAGGACACCTAGTGGGTCGCTCCGGAACTGCGAACCCCCCTGTAACAGCCACCCTTTGCCTTGATGACAGCTTTGCACACTCTTGGCACTCTCTCAACCAGCTTCATGAGGTAGTCACTTGGAATGCATTTCAATTAACATGTGTGCCTTCTTAAAAGTTAATTTGTGGAATTTCTTTCCTTCTTAATGCGTTTGAGCCAATAGGTTGTGTTGTGGCAGGGTATGGGGGGGTATACAGAAGATATCCCTATTTGGTAAAATACCAAGTCCATATTATGGCAAGAACAGCTCAAATAAGCAAAGAGAAACGACAGTCCATCATTACTTTAAGACATGAAGGTCAGTCAATCCGGGAAATTTCAAGAACTTTGAAAGTTTCTTCAAGTGCAGTCACAAAAACCATCAAAAGCTATGATGAAACTGGCTCTCATGAGGACCACCACAGGAATGGAAGACCCAGAGTTACCTCTGCTGCAGAGGATAAGTTCATTAGAGTTACCAGCCTCAGAAATTGCAGCCCAAATATAGTGAGGGAAAAAAGTATTTGATCCCCTGCTGATTTTGTACGTTTGCCCACTGACAAAGAAATGATCAGTCTATAATTTTAATGGTAGGTTTATTTGAACAGTGAGAGACAGAATAACAAAAAAATCCAGAAAAACGCATGTCAAAAATGTTATAAATTGATTTGCATTTTTATGAGGGAAATAAGTATTTGACCCCCTCTCAATCAGAAAGATTTCTGGCTTCCAGGTGTCTTTTATACAGGTAACGAGCTGAGATTAGGAGCACACTCTTAAAGGGAGTGCTCCTAATCTCAGCGTGTTACCTGTATAAAAGACACCTGTCCACAGAAGCAATCAATCAGATTCCAAACTCTCCACCATGGCCAAGACCAAAGAGCTCTCCAAGGATGTCAGGGACAAGATTGTAGACCTACACAAGGCTGGAATGGGCTACAAGACCATCGCCAAGCAGCTTGGTGAGAAGGTGACAACAGTTGGTGCGATTATTCGTAAATGGAAGAAACACAAAAGAACTGTCAAACTCCCTCGGCCTGGGGCTCCATGCAATATCTCACCTCGTGGAGTTGCAATGATCATGAGAACGGTGAGGAATCAGCCCAGAACTACACGGGAGGATATTGTCAATGATCTCAAGGCAGCTGGGACCATAGTCACCAAGAAAACAATTGGTAACACACTACGCCGTGAAGGACTGAGATCCTGCAGCGCCCGCAAGGTCCCCCTGCTCAAGAAAGCACATATACATGCCCGTCTGAAGTTTGCCAATGAACATCTGAATGATTCAGAGGAGAACTGGGTGAAAGTGTTGTGGTCAGATGAGACCAAAATCGAGCTCTTTGGCATCAACTCAACTCGCCGTGTTTGGAGGAGGAGGAATGCTGCCTATGACCCCAAGAACACCATCCCCACCGTCAAACATGGAGTCTGAACCTGACTGTAAAGCACTTTGTGTCAACTGCTGAAATAGAAAGGGTTTTATAAAATACATTTGATTGATTGATTGATCTGATCTCCTCTCTCTCCTCAGGACCATCAACATGCCTACCTCCGTCCCCATGGTCCTGACGTCTTCCGGCCAGCTGCAGCCCCTCCTGTCTAACGGTGACTCCTCCCAGCCCAGGGTCATCCTCCACACCGTCCCCTCTACCACGGCGGGGGGCAAGGACATCCTCACCATCCAGACGGCCTCCCTGGCCACCGGGACGGGTAGCCTCCAGGACCACCACCATCAGCACCCCCAGTTCCTTGTCACCAGCCTTGGCTCCACCACCACCACCACGGGGGTCATCAGCTCCACCACGGCCTCCCACAACGTCCTTCCCCGCCTGGTCACCCTCAACGCGGCCACCGGTCAGCCCATGGTGGCCCAGCAGCCGGGTACCGTCATTGCTACGGTCCTCAAGTCCTCCAGTGGTGGCGAGCTCCTCCACGGCCTGCACGGCATCAAGGAGGAGATGCTGGACCCCTACTACCTGCAGTCATTGGTTAATGGAGACCCGTCGTTTGGGAAGGAGGAGATGGAGGCAGGGGAAGCAGAGCTCACCTACAGGACTGTGATCATCGGGATGAACCAGAGCCTTGGACCGAGCCAGGGGGAGACTGGAAGTGAGTCCCCAGTGAACGGACACTTTGCCCAGGGAAGCAGCCCCAGTGAGGGCCTGACCCCCGTGGAGGAGCTAGAGGTGCGCGGGGAGATGGCCCTGCAACCGGATCACATGGTGAGGGTCAGGGGGCTCCAGGAGCTGCCAGAGATCACCGTCCACCTCCCGGCCTCCTTCATCCAGATCAAGACAGAACCCACAGAGGGCTAGTAGACCACAGGCTGACCTTTATTGTCATGAGTCTTGTCCTGGAGGCAGAACTGAGTGATTTCCACTAGATGGGCCAGCTACAAAGTCAAAATAGGCTATATCTTAAAAAATAATGAAGACCAAAATGAGCTTTTTGGTCTTAATTTAGGGTTAGCCAATACGGTTAGCAGTGTGGTTAAGGTTTTTTATTTTACCTTTATTTAAACAGGGAGTCACCATTGAGACCAGGGTCTCTTTCAAGGGAGCCCTGCACATACAATTCATAAGACACAATCTAATCAAAATCAGATACAATGTAGAAAAAACAAAAATACAGCACAACACAAATATTCAAGAAAAACTGTTACAATGAGGTGCTTTAAAACTAAAAGCAGATTTACCTAGTTCGGTGGAGACCACAAGGAACCTCAAGAGTTTGGTATCTCATGTTTTTATTCTTTAACAACGTAGTTCGGTAAGTCGGAAGCTTGTGTACTAGAGATTTGTAAACAAGAAGGGAGTAATGAAGTGATCTACGGGACGTTAATAAGGACCAGCCAAGCTTTTGATACAGGATGCAGTGATGAGTAATCAAATTGTCACCTGTGATAAAACGAAGGGCGCTATGCGAGATGGCATTTACAGGTTTAAGAGTAGTGGCTGCTGCAATCTGGTAAATGGTGTCACCATAGTCAATAACTGGCAGGAAAGTTTACTGTACAATCTTTTTTCCTGCTATTTAGGGAGAGGCAATATCTATTTCTAAAAAAGAAGCCCACTTTAAATCTTAGCTTTTAAACTATCTCATCTGTATTTTTTTGTCAATCCAAATGCCCAGATATTTATAGTCGGGAACCCCATCAATGGGAGAACCATTCAATGAATAACTATGTAGTCCGTCTGGTTAAGGTTAGGATTAAAATCTGATTTTATGACTTTGTGGCTGTTCTAGCTAGTGCCCACTCTGCAGAGCTGCCTCCAGGGCAAGATTCATGACAATAAATGCCAAGCTGCTAGTAGGCCTGGACTCCATCAAAGCTGGACTATGGAATCAACATAAAGAAAGACTACTTAAAGGGCAATTCCACCACTTTTCAACCTCATTTTCATTGTCTCCAGCACAATACCATTGTATACATATGTGAAAATGGCGCATTTCTACGTTTTGTAGAAACAAATATAAAGTTAAAAAGTTCTACCCGACATCATCAAAAGTTAACACATTTGAAAAACAGTGATTTTCAAACACTATGAGATTAATTGTTTTTTTCTTTTAATCTGTGATGTCACAGAGAAGCATTTTTTAGGACCTTTCTTCTTATCTTTTTAACCACAGATCATAGAAACACGCTGTTTTCACATATGTAGATACTGGTTTGGTGCTGGAGATAATGAATATGAGGTTGAAAAGTGGCGGAATTGCTCTTTAACAAAGTTTCCTTGTTCTTATCCCAATGATAATCTTATTTTGAAAAGCGATGGATTTTGAAATGTGGAGCGACAAACGGAGGCCAAACGTTGGGCCCTGCAGGATGTTTTTGCTTACTCACTGATGTTGTGATCATGTGCCCAAATTTCTACATCAAGGGATTGTTTTGTGATGTGTTGAGGGCCTATCGAACTATCTACCTACCTACCTTGCTACTGTCAGTAGTCCCGCCCCCTTCCCAAACCTGTCCCTACCAGGAGAACAGCCATTGGATAACCAGGGATCTACTCCACCACACGTGCCAGTTAGACGAGTCAATTTTCTACCTACCTGTACATCTCATCAGACTTGTGTCAATGCTAACAGAAACAAAAACAGCAAATCAAAAACAGGAGATGGGAACTCATGTGGGAGAATGCAATGAAATCAGACTTGATGAACAGAAAATGTGTCATTTCTACACGCCGTCTCCACTTTTTTTTTATGGAAGAATGACGGAAACGCACCTCACAGACCTTTACTGAAGAGTGCCTTATACGTAAAGGTAAAACGGTTTAAAATCTTGATAGGAAAAGTCTGTGAGGGGAAATAATGACGGTTCAGATTGTTTTGATTCAAACGATTGTGACTTTTCCAGAGTTTTCTCCATATGCCCCCCTTATTATCAGATTGTCTATAAGGTGTGCTTTCCCCTCCATTACTCATGACCTTACAGCAATGTGTTACTATGGAAATTGGGATTTCCTGTCCCCCTGGACAGTCCAATCACAAACCTGTTTGTAAATAGCTGCAGACTTGATGCAGGGAGAGAGAGAGAGAGCGAGAGAGAGAGAATACGGAGGAAAAATAAAATAGATTTTACTAGCCTCCTATCTTCCCATTAAGGCCTTTAATCCTGTTGATATGAAATGGAATATATATTATATATTATATATATATATATATATATATATATATATATATATATATATATATATATATATATATATATATACTATTGACATTCAATTTAAGGCCACAAATGTATTTATTTTGTGAATTTCTCAATTCTGTATAAAAAGGCACATTTGTTTGTTATTTACATATGGAAAATACGAGGGAAAATCTACAAAGTATATGAAATGAAATAACAGGAAGTTTATATGTCGGTTACATTTTTTTTCTGAAAAGCTGATATTTTTAATTTTTAAGCATTCCGTATAATCAGCGCAGCGTTGATGATGATACTTTCTCTGTTTTGGACTCAAAGTGGTTTGTACCCGACGCAAATTATGGTCTCTATAGATATCTCTGTCCTGTGTCATTTAAACATTGCGTTGTATGTGCTTTGGTTCTTCTTCCCGTTGTACAGCGGACATACCTCTAGCCTTATTCAACAGTCAAGCAGTAGAGAACAGTTGGTTAGATTCACACACCCCTGTCCAGTTCATTTGGTCTCAATCAGGTCCTCTGTGACCTCTCCTAACCCAGTTATTTTGTGACGCAAATTGTGACTCAACACCAGTGTTTTCCTCCCTACTTCTATGCATTTACAATTCTGGTGCTCCGCTCCTAGCTCTTGGTCTTTGGTCAGACTGGTGTCAGTGCTCTTTTTATTGGGTGTCCCAGTTTTGTTAAGGACCTGAGGCGGAGGCCTCAGGGTCTACGAATGGCCGTGATAGCCTGCAGATGCTAGTGTAAGTAAACCCATATTTATCCTGAGCGCTATCATGGCTAAATTGCTTGTATTTTTTCACTGGAGCTGGAGCGAGCAACAGATCATCTGACCTCTAGCTCAACACCTGAGGACAAGCTTTAATGCTACAGCTGGGTTAACCGGATTGTCATGGGAAATTGAGAGTCTGTGATGTGACTTCCGCTTTTGGACATTAACAAGGTGACACTCCATCTTAACTCCTCCTCCACATTTACGGAATTGTTTCAACAGTGCAGAAGAGAACCTCCCCTGACAGTTTTTTTTAATCGTCAGGACCAGAAAGAAAGAAATGCCGCTCAGGCATTTCTTTTACGCCTGCTACGTTAGGTTATGCTACTTTGAATACAACTTTTTAGAACTTGTGCCCAAGCATCAGTCTTATGTCAACCAAAGGGCTCTCTTTGTTGACAATCTGAATGTTGTACAGTACAAAGTAATGCAAAGTTCTGACAATCAATGCTCTCTCTAGGGTTACAAAAAGTACCAAAACAGTCTTTGGTGTTGATAATTGACTGCAATGACCTCTGTTGGTGGGGTTGACTGGATTTTCCTGCTTACAGACACTTACGTTGTATATACAGGTATTTTCCTTTTTAAGCACTGTTGTATGTGAGATGTTGGGTCTGTCCGCGCTGTCTGTCCGATCATTACGTTTTTCTTTGTCTTGGGTTTTCTGTGGTTTCCTCCTATGCTGAAACTAGATTAGATTTTTTTAAAGAAAGAACATTTAGGCCCAGCGCAGTCAAAAGCATCATTTTCCTGTGTTTTATATATATTTCCACACTATGAGGCTGGAATAATACTGTGAAATTGTGAAAATGATGATAATGCCGTTTTAGTGTAAGAGTGGTTTAAAAAGACCGGCTGAAATGTCATTCTGTTTTGGTGGGATGGAGTTTTGGCCTACCTGATAACATCACCAGGCAGTAAATTAGTTAATAGACCAATAAGAAAGAGTTCCAATCCTCTCTGCCAATAACAGCTCGTTTTCAGTTTTCCCCTCCCCACTCAGAACACTCCCAGACAGTCCTATTAAAATTCCTGCTTGAGAAATTGCTCTTTGCTAAGAAGCTATTTTTTGTTTCTTTTTGACCATTTTAATTGAAAACAATCACAGTAAGGTACTTAGTTGTTACCCAGAATTGATTTTGGTATTGAGATAAAAGCTGCATTGGACCTTTTTAATAATAAAACACATTTTGCTTAAATTCCGCTTCAGTGTTTATTCAATATACACTGAGTATACCAAACATTAGGAACACCCTCCTAATATTGAGTTGCAACACCCCCCCCCCCCCCCCCCCCCCCCCCCATTCCCCTCAGAACAGTCTCAATTCATTGGGGCATGGACTCTACAAGGTGTCAAAAGCGTTCCACAGGGATGCTGGCCCAATACTTCCCACAGTTGTGTCAAGTTGGCTGGATGTCCTTTGGGTTGTGGACCATTCTTGATTCACACGGGAAACTGTTGAGCGTGAAAAACCCAACAGCGTTGCAGTTCTTCACACAAACTGGTGCGCCTGGCACCTACTACCATACCCCGTTCAAAGGCACTTCAATGTTTTGTCTTGCCCATTCACCCTCTGAATGGCACTCATATACAATCCATGTATCTTCTTTAAATTCTTATTTAACCTGTCTCCACCCCTTCATCTACACTGATTGAAGTGGATTTAACAAGTGACATCAATAAGGGATCATAGCTTTCACCTGGATTCACCTGGTCAGTCTATGTCATGGAAAGAGAATGTTTTGTATACTCAGTGTAATAGCCAGGAATCCAGACTAATTCCGCTACTTTTAACATCTGTCCAGCATTCAGTCTGGTTTAACCAGGCTATCAATATGACACGAGACAATTAAAATGGTGTAGACAGGCTGTTTTGAAAACTGGGACTGACTACTATTCCCTTGTCTCCTCTTGGATGAGCGTATTAACACACACTTTCCCACAAGGTCAAATCAAACAGATGTCAGTGTGCTGCTCTCAGTATATCTTCCTCCACTGTCTCTGTCCCCATGCCAGGCTTGAACCAGTGTTCCTCTGCTCACAAACACACGTGACCATCCTCCCTTACAACGTACCAACTGATTGAGCTATACCAAAGGTACCAATTGGATAGCTCCATCGGCTATAGTTCAAGCTATAGTTCTTAACTCCGTAACGCAAACTAAAGGGAGCTCTGATGAGGGACAGGCTGTTTCCAGTCATATGTCCCTCTTCCATGTCTGTTGCTGTAAAAACAACAGAAAACAGTGGGCCTGCTAGTGCTACTGCAGAAAACAAATGACAATATGTCTACATGAAACAAACTGGCAACAACTACAATATGTCTACATAAAACAAACTGGCAACAACTACAATGTGTACATGAAACAAACTGGCAACAACTACAATATGTCTACATGAAACAAACTGGCAACAACTACAATATGTGTACATGAAACAAACTGGCAACAACTACAATATGTCTACATGAAACAAACTGGCAACAATTGAGATTTGAGCAATAATAAGCTGTTCATTGGTGCAACTGAGGCTACGAATCGTGCTCAGGAGACAGACAGATAAACCAGTCTGTTCTAGATAATAGCAGAAGCAGCTGTGCTGCTGGTTTCTAAAGGGCTACTTATGGGCTTTTATTGTACACATAATGGTATTGAAGTAGCTGGAAGCTTTGAAGTTAGAGAGCAATATTGCTGTGTACTAGGGGGACAATCTGCAACATGGGATTTGAAGAACAGGAGAAGAAAAGGCCTTTCTACTGGAATGAAGCCTTTAGCAGGCCGAAAAGACTGATTGGACCGTACCTCGGAGTCCTCTTCCAGTCGCCGTGGGCAGATGAATACATTAGTGTGTGTGTGATGCGGATCGTCCAGTCGTGCTGGGGGACAGCGATGGCTGTTGACCTACTATGCAGAGCAGCCTGTGCAGTGGGTTGAGAGTAGGGGAGGGGGGGGGGGGGGGGGACGTGTACATTGGCTGGGATTAAGTGAGCCTCGGGTGGGGGGGGGGGGGGGGGGGGGTCTGCTGAGAGCGCTGTCTGGCAGATGGGTTTGGCTGCTATACACAAACCCCCCCCCAACACTCCATGCACGACACCCAACCCCCCTCCCCACACAGCTGTGGACCACACACTCCTGCCACACCATAGGGTTACCACACCAAACAACATAGAAAAACTGCCACAATACCACTTCCTGTCACCAACAATGACAGCATAAGCCTTCGCCGATGGACGATTGCACGTATCCATAGCGATGTAATACTCGAAAACCGTCTCCATTTATGTTTCATGCTGTATCACACAGTGAGCTGCTAAATACCTTTTCACTCCACCTGAATAGACCTGTGAAGAATAGACCTGTGGTGTCTTGACTTCAAAGCCAGCAAGATGGTAGTGGGATTATAAAGCTAATGAAAGACGAGATTGTGTGTGTGTGTGTGTGCTGCAGTGAGTCAGAGAGCCCCGGAGAGAGAGCCAGACAGCCCATTCCATCCGGGTCCTGGGAGGGGAGAGTTCTATTTCCTGCTTCGCCTGCAGCCAGTGACAGTGTGAGACGAGCTAGCTAGCGCTAG